CGCCGGGGAGAAACGCCGCGCGGAGATGACGCACGTCGCCGGGAGACAGGCCGCGCGAGGAGAACACACGTCGCGTGGGGGTGACGCACGACGCCGGGGGACACGCCGCGCGGGGAGGACGCACGTCGCCGGGGAGACACGCCGCGCGGGGAGGACGCGGAGCAGAGAGAGTAAGCACAGCGCAGGGAGACGGCAGCACGAGGTGCGGGGGAGGTTTGGGGCGGGGGTCGCCGCACCGCTCTCAGGGGACACACCGAAAACCTCCTGTGCGCCGAAGGGAGCTAGTGGAAGAGGGAGAATGCGCGAGGCCACCGTCCCGACCCATACCGTGTTGAACTGTCCTCCTGGATGAGCAGCGGAGGTTTGTCCGTGAGCTTCTGGGGGGCGAACTGAGGAGAAGGGGAGCGAGAGGTCTCCATTGCGGATGTCTGCTGGGGCCGGAACGTGGAAGGGAGCAGTGCTTCCCGCGTAGGACAAGCTGGGGGCTCATCTACATGCTGCCTGCCGTGCTCCCCGGGGGCCTCCGGGCCGTCTGTGGGCTGCGCACCGGTAAGCTTCTCCGCCAAGGCACAGGGGCTGCGGGACAGGGACAGGCGATCCACGCACACCTCCAGGGCTGCGGGAGACGGCTGGGGAAGCGGCCTGCCAGGCGAACCCAGGTGATTGGTCACATATGTACCCACAGGTGCACCCAGGTGTGTAGCCGCAGGTGTGCCCGTGGGGGTGGCACTGGCTGATCCCCTAAAATGCCTGGGCTCTCGCTTGGGTGGTGGCGGCCTCTGCGGGGCAGGTCTCTTGGCGAACAGAGTGGCATTCACAGACCGAGGGTCCTGCCCCCGAGTGGGCTGGGCCAAGAGGCCGCTCTGGGCTGGTGATCCTGGGCACACTGGCGGCAGTGGGTCTATAGGCGTGTGCACCTCTGAGTATCTATAATCCTGAGGTAGGGTACACGCTCTGCCACGGCCCTCCTGGGGCACCTCTCCAGTTTCCGGGGCGTGAAACAGTTCAGACACGTGGGCGAGGTGCTGCAAGTCCAACTGCGCTCGAGGACTGTCTGCCGGACACTGGGCATCTGCTTGTCTAGAGGAAGAACAAACATATATGACCAACTGACTCCAGGGACATTTTCCCGAAGGAGACCAGACCCAGATCTTGCTGCTCTCCTCAAGTCACTTTGACTTAAATCCACAGGTATTTTTCTACCCCTGACCCCATCGCAATTCTGGGGGCCCATCAGAACTCTGACCTATTTACCAGCAAGCCCCATGGGACACGTTTTCCTGGCAGCCGTCGCCCTCCTGTGGCCAGGGCGGGAAACTGCACCCCAGCCACGATTTCCCAGGCCTGGGGGTTAACAGGTGCCCCAGGCCCACCTAGGGCGCTGCGCTGCATGGGCCCTGGCCTTGTCCCTCCTGCGACGTCCCCAGGAGAAAGTGCTCCTCCAGGTTCACTGGGTGCTTCAGAGCAGAACCAGCATTTCAAGCGGAATCACCTCCCTGACCCCTTGTCTTTCTGTCAGCCAGCCAGCCACCCAGCTAGCAAGGCCCCATGCCCCGCCTTGCACTAAGGTAGGTACAGATGTGGGACCCCCGCCCCAAGCCACAAAATGGAATGCCTGAGCATCTGGAAATATTACACAAGAGCTCAGGCGCCCCTAGGTCCTTCCGAGAGGACAGGTTTGTCCCCAGTGAAACCTAAGTCGGGACGATTCACAAATGTTTGCATGACTTCCAGTCAAGGCCAGAGTTCTCTTCAGTCAATAAAGACAGCCCCGAGCTGTCAAAGAAGGCCCCTACCCTGGCGGCCAAAGCAGAAAGCCGGGCCACGGGCCACAGGGCTCCCTGCCCACCTGTCACCTCTTACCCAGCCAGAAGGCCAGCACACATGCTCCTGGGACTCACAGCTGTCCAGCGCCTTATAGGACACTGCACTGCCGGAGT